TCGGAGAGCCGCGATGTGTTTCACTTGTTACTAGCTGGTCGGCGATTCTTTCGACATTATTTCATCGGTATACGCGTAATGGAAAACACGCTCGAGCGTAAATAAGTTAATTACCGCGGTATGCGTGTATATATTACAGCGAAGCGCGGCCATTTTGACGCTTACGATATCGAGCGTTCTTTTCCCTTCTTCCTTGCGTCTCTCTTGCTTTTTCTCTCATCTCTCTTCTTTGATTCTTTATTTCCCTCTCGTTTCTTCCTCTAAGCAAAGATGCCGAAGAGGCGCGAAGTAACAGCTGCGGGTTGTAAAATAAACAGTGCAGATTTATTGCGGCTACGGGGAGAAACGTGCGCGCCGCTGAACGAATGCGTTTCTAAGTTCCTCGTTTTAACGAGCGTATTAAGTACGTAACGGAGCCTTCTAGTCGCGAGTGCTATCGGCGCATCGCGATTGGTACACTCGATAGCTGCGCGACCGGCTGAAGAGCGCTCCACGTGATAAAAGCTGATCTCCAATTCCGTACTCGCGCAGCGGAAAAAAAAATCGACTAACAAGACGTGTACTACTACTGTGTGAGCGCGCGCCTTTTCCGCGAGAGGAGTCACGTCGACAGGAATTCGGAAAATCTCAGACACGGTACCGCGTCGCGTGGAAATGCATTGTGCGGGACCAGCAGGGCGCACGGGAAAGTAATTTAAATGCACGCTAAAGGCCACTTATTAACATACCGAGGTGGAGATCCTCCACGGGGTTACACGAGACCTCGTGTACACTGAAAAATGAGTTCGGCTGGGTCTACACTGAGAAAAAAGATTAGAAAATTGATTTATGAGATATAAGACTCATTTTAGAGATTTTAGGAAAAAGGTTTATTTCTGGGGGAAACAAATCTTATATCCTACAGATACATTTGTAACTACATTTTGCTCAGTGTACCCGACAATGAAAAAGCAGCTTTGATTGAAGGAAGCAAAATTTCCAGTTTTCGTGAACCAAATTTCGCCCTTACAATCAGGAATTCTGTTTCCTTCAACCAAACTCGTTTTTCTTCAATGTGCAACAGCCTACGTGAAAGAATTGCTCCGTCAGGAGAACGATTTTTTACTAAGTGTTACTGTAGCGTCATTGAAATAATCTCACACACATATTGCTATTTCCTGGATTGAGATCAGAAGAAGATACATCTGATGCTGAAATGACGATAATTTTAATGGAATTTCTATCGGTGTATCCTTCCTGGCCGGTACCACGGTGATCGATTCAAGACTCGCGACGCGACCGCGTGTCCCTTCGATCTCGACGTTCGTTTTTGGAAGAAAGTGCACGGCTTCGCTAGGTGATAACTCACGCATCGTCGGGCGCGCGTGTGCAAGCTCACACGCATATACACGCATATACACGACACATGCGCATGCACCATCACCATCGTCGTCATCATCATCATCTTCATCATCGTCATCGTCGTCGTCGTCATAATCATCATCCTCGAATAGACAAGAAGGAGACAGAGGAAGAGGGGAGAGCGCCGGTCCCGGAGTAAACGCACCATCCCGTCCCGAGCGCTCGCAATTAAGGGTTAATTAAATTGAGCGGCTTCCTAGATTTCTGTAATCATCGCGGACAGTATCTACGGGGTAATCTTCAGCGCATCCTGTCTGCCTCGAGGGCCCCACGGAAGGAAGGGGCCCCCGAGGTAAGGTCATGCACCCCGCTGACCTCGGACCATCGTCTCTCCCTCTCTAGTCCTCCACTCTGCCTCCCCCCCTCCTTCCTTGCCCGCCCTCGCCGCGCCGTCGTGCTCTCTCCTCCTCGTCGCCGCTTGCTCCTCTCTCGCTCCTTCAGACCTCCTTCCCTTCTCCTGCTCTCTTCCTCGACTTCCCGTCCTCCTCCCGTTGCTGCCGTTGCCGCTGCTGCTGCAGCTCCTGCCGTCGCTGCCAGCAACCCCTCTTGCCCCTGTCCCCCCCCNNNNCCCCCGTTCCTCTTCCTTCGCGGCCATCCGCCCTTCGCGCACTCTTCTTCTCTCCTTCCTCCTCCTCCTCTTCTTCTTCTTCTTCTGCTGCTGCTTCCCCGCCTCCCCCTATCCCCTCCCGCCGCCTACTCTGCCCTTTTTCTTTCTCTCTTTCCTCGCCGTGCGCCTTTCGTGCGAGCGTATACACGGCAGAGGCCAGGTGAGTGTATACAGAGTTACGTGCCCCGCGCGAGCGACTCGAATTATTATCAAAGACCGGAGCATCATCGCGGATAATGGGCGGATGTCGCTGTGACAGGGCAGAAAACGCGACGTCTTCTCCGCGCTTCTCGTGTACGTTCCTGTGGGAAAAACTGCGCCGCGGGCAAACCGCCACCCGCCGACGCCACCGCCGGCGGGTCTCGTGCGAATAATCGTGCGCGAGCTTCTTTCGCGAAGTGCAACAACGTCGCTCACGATATCCGAGAATGCGCGCCGACCGGGAAGTGCCGAGCGAAGGGAGTCGAGCAGGGGGAAGAGAGGAAGAAAAAACGACCGTTTCGATCTGGCCGTAGCGAGGATAGGCATTAAGCGCTACTTAATTAACCTTCTATGCACGAGTCTCGATATTGCCGCGTATAAATTGTGGCGGGTCGGGAAAAATGCATAACGTCATCGCTGATAAGCATTAAGAAACTGTGACTGATTATAGAGGTATCGGATTTGAGGATTTTTTTGTGAAAAAATCCGCACGAACGATGCAATATTATTAATTCTACTACGGCTACGCGGCAAACGTCGACTTTCGTCCTAGTCGGTCTTTCCCGATCAGCCATACTAACGTATCTGGAGCCTGACGGAGGGACGCGAGACACGGTTCGAGAGGGGCGAATAATTCCAGTTAACTCGTTCACCCGGTGCCGAGTGGTCTCCTTCGCGTTTTCCTGGCGACGGCGATCGCCGGTCAGCGTTTCCCTTGTCGATAGCCGCCGACGCGTGCGGCCGGTCCGCGCGAAAACGCGTGATTTAGCGGGTTTACGATCGCGGGACGGACGGACGGCCACGTCTCGGACGGAAGTGGCCACATACACCTGGGCAGCCCGAGAGAGCCGATGACCAGCGCGAGCGCCTCCTCTCTTCGCCGTGCGCGCGGCGGAACAAGGTTAGATGTTATCGGCCCGCCGCGAGTAGCCAAGTTCAAGAACGGAGGAACGTGGAATCGCGGACGGGGATAAGGCGTGGGAACCTTTCCGGTCTTGCCACGAGCAGAGCCGCAATTAAAAAGTTTCTGCCGCGGCGGAGCGCGGCCGAACGCGCCGCGGAGCTGCCTCGCCGAAATGACCTCTTCTCGTAAGAAACGCGCGCACATTCGGCGCGCTTCCAGCGATACGCTCCGCGGAGACTCGCAACAGCGATATTTCCGAGAGTCGCGCTTTCGGAGGCGCAATCTAGGAGAAAAGTCCGGTGTGTGCGGCGGTATTTAATCGAACAATTTTATCCTCTCGTTAAGATTTAAAACATCGCACCTAATATCCAGTAACGACTCATATTAGCCCATCGTTCCTATTCATTCTTATTGATTATATATCATCGGAGACTTTATATCTTTCGTTATTTATCACGTTAATATTAATCCTTTCCTTATGACAGAGCAACGATTTATATAAAATCTCCGCTTATTCGTTAAAGAGGTGTCGAAATATTTTGCGTAATGCCTTCCAGCTTATTAACAACCGGCCACTACCAATCACCGTAACAGTGAAGAAACGGTGTCAACCTTTTCCGGCGACACAATTGTGCATTTTTCTGCATACATTACGTATTAATATGAATGATAAATAGAGTGACGTAAATTCCGCAGCTCGATCGAAGCAACAGACGTGATATCGGAGAATCACGAGAGCTCGATTCGACGAGGGCCGTGTGACGGAGAGTTTAACGGGTGATCACAGCGAGTCGCATCGCGCGAACGTTATCATCGGATCGATACCTCGCCGACGCGACGTTTCTCCAGATATCGGAATCAGACAGTCGTGAGAAGGCTCGTTCATGGCGGGCGAGAGAGGGCCGGAAAATGAAATCGCGTTGAATATACCCCGCCTCTTGGCACTGCGAATTATTCCTGGAGAGTGGTGAATTACGAAACATATGTTTCTAATCGAAGGACAGCGCGACGAACAAACGGAGACGTTTTCGCCGTCGTGCACTTCGATCCCGACGCACGGCACGCGTGTATCCATTATGCCACTTCGAGCCTTCGTTCAAGGTGTCGTTCCATATATCGGAAAAATATCGCCTCGTCACCGCGACTTCCCGTTTTCTTATTGTAAATAACCCGCAAACGCGACACAATAAGCAGTCAGATCCCCGGAAAAATATTGCATACGCCAAAATAACACTTTTCTTTTACAATAACTCGCGTCAAACGAGATTTTTACTTTAAATAGTGACTTCAAAAAATTCAACATTGACCGAAAAAATTCATTGTGAAATTTATATGCGAAAATGATAAAAATACAAACATTTTTACATAATTTGTAATGAAAAGTTGCCTGATGCAACATTTTCAAACTTATATAACGCATCACAGGAATCACTAGATACTCGTGTTTAATATTACAAACATGAGAAACATATGAATTGATCGCAAAATCCGTTTACTCTTTTAAGCGTTCTATTGCACCCGCCATTGTCCGCTCTCTGCCGTGTGTGATTGTAAGATATCATTTTTATTTTATTATTCCTTTATTCACGAGTCATGTAATTTCAGATTGTGTAATACGTATAACATATCGTACAAAAAGGATGCGTTCCCGTATAAGTAAATAAATAAATAAATAAGTAAATTTTGTGGAACATCCGGTCGGGCGGAGAATTTCATTGATCTCGGCGAAATTAGCATCAAAGGAAGAAAGAAATATAAGAAAAATTGGCGCTTGTAATGTTTTCCCGAAGAACTTACGTCGAACGAGTGCGACGCCGTCAAGACGGCTCTCGATGGGATCACCCGGCGAGGTCTAACGCTAATAAATCCGTAAGAAGGGTTCAGTACAGTGCATACCTTCCCGGCGCATGCCCATCTTCAGGCACTTCTTCAAGCGGCAAAACTGGCACTGGTTCCTATGATGTTGGTCGATGGGGCAGTTCCTGTTCCCCCGACACGAGTACGTCAGGTTCCGCCTGACGCTTCTCTTGAAGAAACTCTTGCAACCTGCAAGCAGAAAGCAAAACGCTCGTATTAATTTCGGTTCCTCGCAAAAAAACCGCTGCAGCTTTTTTCTCTTTTTCTCCTCTTTTCCCCCTCGTTCTACGATCAATTTCCCGCGACCGATTCGAGCTGCTTCGACGGAGTTTTCTCTATCGAGCATCGATCGAGCATCGCGCGGCCGATCTTTCGACATAAACATCAAATACCGTCTCTCCGATCGAGAGATCACGGACGTTCGCTTTAAATTAATTCACCCGCCACAATAATCGGCGTAATCGCGGAAGATAGCGCGCTCGCGCGCGTACGATCGGCGACCGATGAAGCGTGAAAGGTGCTTGTCGGCCTGAAGATTAACGCGCGCTCCTTTCTCGAAAAAATGATTACGAATCTTTGCATTTGTATGCGCGCTTATTATATTCAGATAGAAACAGGACAAAATTGAAGTCAAGTGATTTGAAGACATTCTTTAATTGTGAAAAAAAGTTTAACGTCTGATAAACTATATACAACGTAAAAGCGAATACTTGCAATTTTCAGAAATTTCATCGTGTCATTTCCAAGCACGTTTCTTTTGATTATAATTTATTAAAAAATCGAGTTCTGTCGGTTGATAGGATCAGCCTCGATAATGAGAGCTTATATCCTGTACAGATTCCTATTGATAGAAGCGGCCGTACACGGGCAACCGTGAACGCGACAGGACTAACACCTACAAGAGTAACTCGTTAAGTTTCTCTCTCGTTACCGGATAGGCGTTTCGACGTGCGTGCACGCGAACACGAATCCACACGAGCACCCACACGCGCGCGAAACGGCGGAATTGCGTAGCGCGATCGGAAGGGAGCGACTGCGCTCACTAAAGGGGTATGCAGGCGGGGGAGGGGGAACGACGACGAGATCCGATGATACGTGATTACGCAAATTCTGTAACATGCACGTTGCAACGACGACGAGACCGATGCACCTTGAGGTCAACGCGGGGAGTTGAGTTACGGTGGATGCACGATCCGGCCGTCGCGAGAGCGCACGTAGAGGCAGGTACGCGCGCGGCTTCTTCTTATGAGAATGAGACGCGCACAGCGAGCGGCGTACCGTCGAAAGTGCCGACGGACTCGATCACGAAAATCCTATTAGTAGTTGTCCCGACGAGATCGAGCGCACGCCGGTTGCTCTCTCCCGGTCGGCCGATCAGCCCGGCCGGCGAGCTTTCGCCGCCGATTATTCCGGGATATCGATCCGCGAGATCGACGTGATCGATGATGCCCGGATAATTTCGCGAAACGCGCGACGTCGCACCTCGCGCTCGACGGAAGAGCAAAGGAGAACACCGTCGCAGATCGGGAGAATCGGTTTCACCGAAAGTATCTTCCTCGGAGAGCGGGTTTTAAATTCGTCGGAGAATTTGTCGTTGATTTAAAAAAAAACATGAGAATCTCTCCGTTCCACAGAATTTCGTTAATCGTGTCTAAATTATATTTTCATGAGACTAGATTCGCGTCTTCGGAGCTTTCCTCAGAGTTCTCTCTTACTGAACGCCTGAATTATTCTCGATTTTCCTTCCCCAAAGCAATAGTGCGCGGATCGCATCAGCTTATTCGTGGAAAGTGGCGAATTTCGACGGCGACCGGCGTGTATCGCAACGGTATCGAGCCGATCGGTCGGTCGCCCTTTGATTGGCGTGCGAATGGCCGTGCTCGCGGCTCTTTAATGAGCGGTTAGCTTAATTGCGAGTGGTAATAGGGCGGCTGGCAGGGAGGGGCCCCCCGATAAAGAGTAAGAACTGCCGTGGGGTGACGATGACGCGGTGCGACACAATTCAATTTAATAAACAGCGAGGCGAGCAATAACTCCGCATCGTAAAAGCACGTGGGACACGCACGTGAGCCAGGCAGGGCCGGCGTGCGCGCGCGACACCGGGGTTAAAAGGTGACTGAGCCGCGCGTTGCTTTTAATTAAAACGGACTCTGTCGAATAGAGAGCTTGAGCACGCATTCACCTGTGTTCGCGGCCAGTCCAGCGAAACAAAGTCGAATACATTTGCGTTGAAATTAATATCACTGAGATATAATAGATAAATAATAATAGATATGGTGGACGGATCGATAAAAGACAAAAATAAAGCAACGAAAATGTACGAGCGATAGTGTCGTCATCCGACAAGTAGATCTCGTCTAATATACGAACGGAAATGTTGCATCGTCGGAATTTCGGTCCAACATTAATCCTGACAATTTCGTCGAACTTGAAAGACCAGTCGAGAATTTCTCGAGTTTCGTCTCGGGTCGGTTCCTCGTTCCCGCAAATTCATCAAGTGTCAATTAAAATCGTGCACATCCTGCATAATAAATGATTTCAGGCACCTGGAGACATATGCTGTCTTGACATTCCGGCGTCTTGACTTCCCGATCCAGCATCCTGCTCCCAGCTGCCATCACGGCACTCCGGATGCTCATTCGTGGCATTGACATTAGCGCTGACGCTCGCGTAGACTCGATCGGAAGAACGACGAGCGATAATTATCGCCGATGACAGCCCGGTCAAATATTCGTCAGTGCATTAATCACCGTTTCCATCAGGCGATTAAAATATTTCGTAGACTTTTATATTATTCAATCGTTCGTTAACACGCGTTTTTTTTTCGATCGATTCGTCGTGAATGAGGAGATACCCGAGCCAAAATTTCGGCCGGCGTTCAGAATTCGTTATTGTTAATGATTTAATCATCACTTAACAAACAATCGACCCTCGGGACGAGCAAGAGATACTTCGGACGTTATTCGGGATGTTATCGCGATTAACATTTATCAATCGCCGGTCAGTGTCAACGCTATCTCTGTTGAGCTAGTCGCAAGCGCAAGATTATCGCCGAGCCGGCGAAAGGTGCCGTCGGTTCTCGTACTGCGCAACGCCATTTGTCACGTAATTTAACTAATGACACCACCGGGTTCGAACGCCGATGAGATGCGTAAGCACGTCGCTACGAAATTACACACGGCACAGCCGGATATCGCCGAGTTCCTCCGTCGCGAATTTACGCGGAATTGCGCCGGCGAGCGAGGATAAAATTCGCGCCCGAGCGATGGGATTACCTACGACGAGATCGCGAAGAATCGCGTGCGCTTCCATAAGGATTACGTGCGGCTANGTGGGGGCGGGAGGGTGGGATCGAGGCACTCGGAGGTGTAGCGAAGTCGGCTATCGCGATCGATGGCACGACGTGTACACATAGATAAGTAGTTACCGAGCTAAATCGGCAATTTATATCGTAACAGGACGCCCGCTGCGCACGAACTTTCGAATCGAGATAAAGAGAGGTGGCCTGCGCCTCTCGAGCCGCGATCCGTAAGTCATTCGCGGCCTCGCTCCGCGCCTGACGCTCTCGTTTTCTCGCGCCCGATCCCGCGGATCCCGCGCGGAGGCATCATTCTCGCTCTCGCTCGCTCTCTCTCTCCCTCCCTCCATCTCTCACCCTCGATCTTTCTCGCTGTCGAGAGATAGAGGACGCGATACCGGTAACACGAACGATCGCGTAAGAAAGGCGCGAGTCGTCGCCTTGATCCGGGAAGATGAAGTATCGAGTCGAGCCTGGAGGATTTCGGCGCGTGATAACCGGCAGTTGCCGGCTCGTCGCCGTTGAAAACGTTTAATACGCTTATTTCGCTTCTTCATTTCTTATTTCGCTATTCGTTGGGTTTCTTCTCATTTTTTTCATTAAGCAGCGAGTTAATTTATATTTACAGTGCCCCTGATAATGAATCACAGAGCAATCGGTAATATGCTATGTTTTGTTAATAATAGCGGTTTTTAATCGGGGTCTAAATGACCCGAGGTAATCGTTTACGTAAAAGGAAATAAGGTGACTACTGGGTTAAGCGAGTTGAAATATTTATTTTTTTATTTATTCATTCATTCATTAAAAAAATATGAATTTCAGGATCAACGATATTCGTATGACATAATCAGCGAGCGAAGGTTTCCCGTACGAGGCTAAGAGAGGAAACGAGCTCGTCGAAGACGAATCAGAAAAGCGAGTCAAGCTCGTAATAAGCCGACGAGTCCTCGTCCGAGACGTCCGAGCTCCCGGCTACTCGACATCGTCGTCGTTGTCGTTATTCCTATCGTTGCCGACGTCGATGTCGCCGACAGAAACGACGGCCACGAGGTGAGGCGGAGGGGGGAGCAGAAAAAGGCAGAAAGAGCCAGGTCGCTATAACTACAAATTGCATCGTTACACGCAAATTACGCGATTACTCTGTGCGAGCCAACCACCGGACGACCACGCAGCATATGTGAGCTCCGTAGTGGCGCGAAGGAAACGAGAGAGAGACAGAGGGAGAGAGAGACGAAGAAAGGGGAGAGGAGGAATGAAAGAGCGAGTGAGCAAATAAGAAGGGAAAAAGAGACGGACGGAGAAAAGAGTGAGAGAACAGGGGGGGAGGGGGGAGAGCAGAGAAAGAGGGAGAAAGAGAGTAAGCTCGCGCAGCGCACAACTACCGTTTATACTTTCAGATTGCAGCTTGCGCGCTCGCCGAGCTCAAATTGCTCGCGTCATTGAATTTTCATTGCACAGGCTAGTCCTTCGCGGTCGGCGTGTTCCAAGTGCCAACTCTCTCGGCGGGACGAACCCTCGTCGCGAGCGTGACGCCCGGCGAGAGAGCGCGGCGGATGTGCCCTCGCCCCTTAATCCGTTCACTCGGACTGACTGACGTCGTAAGGCATCGCTTTCAGCCGCGGATTAAGGTACTCGGGGGATGCTCGTGAATCGACTTTCGGCCGTTCTGAATATTTCGAGACGCTGCGGAATATTTCGGTTTAAGGGCGTCTTCATCGTTCGAGTAGATTCGCGAGGAAATAGCGATCGCGTTCGTGTTTTTTGGGGGCTGACAAAATGTAACGAATATTCCAGTGAATAAACGTTCACCGCGAAACGAAAAGAGTAATCTCGCGATTGACAGATGTCATATTTGCGTCACTTGCGTCGCTAAGTAATTTCTCTCTGATTT